ACCTGCCAGGCCCCAGACCTTCAGCATTCAATCAGAAAGCTTGGATTTTGATCATATGAAAGTCAGCCGGCAATTATCAAATGTTCTTGTATTGGATGTGTTTCCAAAGTCAGAATTCGCATCTGATCTTCAGCCTTCAATCTAGCCTACTTATCACTGCTTCTCATTTCCATTTTTTATAAAAACGTGTCTGTGAAATTTATTATATTCTGATCACACACCAGGTACTAGGCTAGACTCTTCACTTTGGCTCACACTCGCTCATGTAGTTCGGTAGATTTAGGTCATGTTCATCTGTCATGTCAGACCTAAACTCCTTAAGGTCGTCCCCACTTGTATCCTCAGTGCCAAGCAAGTCCTGCAACAACCCTCTAGAGTGAGCCATGTCGTCTCAGTTTACAAAGAAGGAAACATGAGACTTAGGAACTGCAACCCAAATTTCACCAAGGCCCATTTCTATGATGTAAAAGGCATATGAGCTGTCAAAGCACATTCTGTAACATCATCCTGTTTGGATCTCACCAACTACTCTGTGAAGTTACATCTGCTTTAATGTCAAAGCAGAATCTGAGAAGGCAAAAATAGAGCTATTCCTTTATTTCAGGAACAAAAATAATAAATCAAAGTATTTGGGAGAAGAAATAACAAATAGGGACTAAACCTGAGGACAGATGATAAAGTAGCAGCATAGGTTTCTGCTCCCATCATGTGTCAGTGGGTCTCTTCCACTCAAACTGGCCCCTCTGCAAAGGAGAACCCGAGCGCTCCCAGGCTGTGTTACCATCAGTTAGCACCCCATAAACATCAAGGTCGCCGGTTCAGGCCCCTTCCATTAAAATGTGTAAGAGCTCACAACCCAGCTTGTAAAGGGCTGTTGGAGGGTGCCCAGCCACCAAGCAGCTTTAGCTTCGGGCCAGGAAAGCATGTCTAGTGTCAACTAGCAAGGAAATGGAATGTTTGGATGATCAGACCCACAGTCTCCAGACGCAAAGAATGAGATCAAGTGTCTGGGAAACTCCGTGTGGAGGATCCCATTTCATCGCATATATATCCAGGGTCTAACTGGATGTAACAAAAAAAGAGGCAGCGAGGCCAGAAGTGGGAGGAATCTGCTGGAATAAACCAGGAGTTTCCCCTAAAGAAAAGCCTCCCTGGAGGATATAGGATATAGTTGTTTTTTTTTTTTTCCTTATTCTGAGGCTGTTTTCTTATTTGTAGAATGCCTGTCTTGCAATTCTGTGTTGCTTGAGGATGGTCAAAACAAGGAGAACGCTCAGACACCCACATGACCTTGTAGAATGTCCTTCTCCCATCTGGGTCTTGGTATCCTCACCTCTAAGAAGGATAGCAGCCAAATGTTCTCATAACATCCTCATGATATTTAAGTGAGAAATTGTATGTGAAATATGCTTCTTAAACTGTAAAACGTGATCTAAGTGTTAACTAAGCCAAAAATGGCCTTCCCACACATTACCTCATTTGATCCAACACCAAGTCTGTAAAATCTATGAAGTGGGAATTATTGTCCCCATTTTATAGAAATAGAAGTTGAAGGTTTGATGGATTGCATAACATGCAACTTAACAGATTATTCAGCCAATCAGTGGCAAAGACATGGGTAGACTCCAGATCTGTGGTTTTAATCCATTGCATATATGCCAAATGGTAGAGATAATGGCTATAGGTTATTGGGATGGCTACAGATTATTTGGATAATCTTTGGAATGCCAATATCAGTTTGTGGTTTATTTGGACAAAGACCTCCTGGGAGACAGATTGTATCTACTGACCTCTGTATTCGAGCCCAAGGTACAGGCTCTGGCACATAGTAGACATGTGTGGAAGATTATTAGAAGGATAAATAAGTCAGTATGAATTTATTGAGACCTATTATATATCAGGTACCAGGTGCCCTCTGAAATGGGTGCTGTCATCGTCCCTCCCCATTTTATGGAGGAATCAAATGAGGCTAAGAACCATAGAGTAGGAGGTCAGGTAGCTGGCTAAACTGAGATTTGGAATTATATCTGATTGCAAGTCTTACTCTCCTTTGTCCACACTACCTCTAGATTAATTACCAAAGGAATGTTGTAAGGTCTTCCCTCCATATCCACAGGTTCTGTATCCATTCAACCAACTATAGGTTGAAAATATTCCAAAAAAATTTTTTCATCTGTACTGAACTGATTTTTCTCATTATTATTCCCTAAGTAATATAATCTGACAACTATTTACATAGCACTTATATCGTATTTGGCATGATAAATAATCTAGAGATGACTTAAATATACAGGAGGATAATAAAGGTTAAATACACATACTTTGCCATTTTATAAAACGGACTTGAGAATCCATGGATTGGGTATTCAAGGGGGTCCTGAAATTAATCCCCCATGGATATTGAGGCTCACGGGGCAGCTATGCCTGTTAGGTAAGACCTGATATCCCACAGGTAAGTCCAGGGCAAGGCCTACCTCTTCTGTTCTTGGTCCCCATCAACTCCATATACCCTGCTGCCTAAAAACATGTCCACTTTGGCGCCAGCAGCCTGTCCCTCTCCTGGCTTGGTGAATAGAAGTACTGTTTGGTGTTTACTTTCACACCATAAACTACCATTGGGAAAAGTGCTGAGTAAACCCAAGCAAAGCCCAAGTTGATCTTCTCCCCGGGGCTCTTGGGAAAGCTCCAGCCCTGAACCTAGACCCAGCCTCCAGAGTCATCAGGGGGTCATTGTCCTTCAGTGGTATGCAGAAAAGGTGGGAGTTTCAGGGATGGGATCTAGGGAGGCCTGAGGACTGGAGATTGTCATTATTTATCTCTAGGAAAGGCTACGATGTTGTCTACACTTGATCTCAGCCAAGAGGCTGAGAAGTGTTGCCTAAAACATTGTCTGAAAGGAGCTTGAACAACGTCCTAGATGGGCTGCCGGGAGTAGTAATACTTGGCTCCACAGCCCCATCCTGGCATGGTACATTTTCTGGTGGACAGGTCATTTGGGAAAGGTAGCACTGGCTGGACTTTCAGCCAGGTTGAGCAGTGTGTATACAAATTATTTTTCATCCTCATGTGCCTGTCTCTCTGGGCAATAAAACTTAATTAGGGCTCTATTCTGTGCCAGGACTTGTGCTCAGTACCAGGGATAAAGGTGATCCGAGGAAGGAGAACCTAGTCCAAGGTTGTTCCTGGTCTGACAATGAGACAGACACAAAAACAAAGAATCACTCTAATGTGTAATATGGGATGAGAAGGAGCAAGAGAATAATCACAGGTTGACTCCCAGGTGACTTCTTGTCACCTGTGACAGGTGAGCCAAGCCTTGGGGGTAGAATTATATTATGTAACACAGTGAGTAATTGTATCATAGACTCCCACAAACTTAAAGCCTGGAATCTTAAAAACCATCAGGCAGGTTACCCCCTGAAATAGATGAGGAAACTGATACCCAAACAGAAGTGACCTTCTCAGCAGATTAGTGGCTGAGCAGGCATGGATTTCACAAACCTCTTTGGACTCCCAGTCTTCAGGAAACCTTTCTTGAGTTAATCAACCATTACTGTGATCTTTTGTATTGTGCACCTCACTTAGTGCTCACTGCAGGTTGGCTTGGTCATCAGGGGGCTGACCACAGTATCACATAGCACTTGTTCCCCTGGGCCAGAAGTTGTGGCTCAGTGAAGTCAAAGGACCTGCACATAGTCACACAGCTCAGAAGCTCCTGAGCCTGGCATAGAATCCAGTTCTTTGGCTCCAATTCAGAGCTGTCTCTGTCCCTCCTCCAGCAGCCTCCCTCTTTTCTGGGCAGATGAGAAATCAGATGTGTAGGAAGTACCTCCATTTTGCTTGCATAAGGACACACCATAAAGAGCAACTCTAACTGCATTTATTTTTAATTTTGCAAACATTTTATCCATTGTCTTCAGGTTAATAATGAAGGTCTGAGCCTCTGAGATCTAATTTTGTTTTCTTTCCTTTTTCAAAAGCAACTAAAACATTAGCAGTTTCTACACCAGCAGTGTCACTTGGAAGGGAGTAATGGGCAAAGGCAACTTAACACAGATGCCAGTTCACTTGTTTAAAAGGAATTTAAAGTGTCAGGATTCTCACATGAATGTGAAGACTATTGGGCCACGAAGCATCCGGGTCTCCATCAGAGCCCTGGCAGAGCGCATCCATGGACACAGTTGCTCAGCCTATTTCCTAAAGAGCACTTATGTTTTGGAAGCCTTCACGACCTCTGCCTGCAAGAAGCATGAAGTAGTTGCTGGCCAGAAGCCCGAGGGGCTTGTGAATCAGGCCCTGTGTGCTCTGCCCCACTGCACAGACAGGCCTTTGTGAAGGAACAGGCAGCTCCACTCTGGCCCTGAAGTGCTCCCCCCACCCCGCCAGCTGTTTGCTTTGGGTCTAAAAGCCCATTTAGATGGAGCTTGGAGTTAGGGGGAGGAAGCAGCAAGCCAAGGACAGAGAATAAACTGCAGGTTTTGGACAACAACCCAGAGTATGCCCATGGAGTGGAGGATCCAGCCTCCCCTCACCCCCACTTCAGTTAGAGTCAGAGCTGCTGTGAAACTCAGGCCCCAGAACTCTTCACATGCCCCAGCCAGACCCACAAGCTCTTTACTTGGTGACCGGGCCTCCTCCTCACTTTGTTTTCACACATAACCAGTTTTTAATTAAATTTGACTTTTTCTCACATCTGTTCACAAGGCCAGTCCCCCTTGGAAGTGGCAAGCACAAAGGCGGAGACTGGCTGGCAGCAGGAAAAGCAAATAGAGCAGAGCCCTCTGTCCCTCCTGTCCTGGTGGGGAAACACCGCAGGGCAGGCTTCGGCCCAGGGCATTGTTGTGGTCCTGAGGCCATTGTCCACGGAGATTAGTCTCCCAAGCCTCTGGAATCCTGATCACTCCCAGAAGCCTAGTAGGTAACCAAGTGTGATCCTGTCCCCAGCAGTGACTTGCTCAGTAGTTGTTTCTTTCTCTCCTCCTCCCGCCTTCTGCCTACAGAGATCTGTGCTGCCGACTGTGGTGGCCATGGCGTCTGCGTGGGGGGCACCTGTCGCTGCGAGGATGGCTGGATGGGGGCAGCGTGTGACCAGCGAGCCTGCCACCCGCGCTGTGCCGAGCATGGGACCTGCCGCGACGGCAAGTGCGAGTGCAGTCCTGGGTGGAACGGCGAGCACTGCACCATCGGTACGGCGCCCAGGATACCTGGTCTGGGTCTGCAGGACACCTTTGTCTGTGGGGTCACTAGCCTGGGTCCCCATTGCATGTGGGAAGGGGTCAAAAGTCCTTTCATCTGATGACATTATGACTGGCTTTTCCTAGATGTCAATTGGATTTAAATTCACAATGTGGTGTTTTCAACCTTAGTCTTCCCAGTTTATATTTCCCAGGTCCCACTTAGCTGGTTAGCACACCTTGCTGTTTAGCCATTTCCAGGTGAAAGGCTCAGTTTCCTCACCTGTGGGATGGGGAGAAGATGCAGGTAAAGAGCTTCGCACAAGCCTGCACGCAGTGGAGCAGTCCATACACATAGCCATGGATATCAGCTTCACTGTCTCTGAGTCTCCACTCTCACTGGCCTCGGAGGCTCCCCAACAGGCCTGGAACCCTGGGGAAGCTCTCCACAGGACCCCGGCCACATCTGCATTTCCCCTCTGCTGCCCTCAGCATCCATCCTGTCTGCATCTGTCTCCTTTCTCCTCTCTTGGGGTCTCCTCAGCACCCGCCCCCACTGCAGCAGCACTGTTAGCAGCTTAAAAAACAAGCTCATCTCCCCGTTGCCTTTCCTCTCTCTGCCTTTCCTGCTGGTTTTGTTGATTTTAAACACAGCCAGACGTTTTGCTTGGTTTATTATCCTGGAATGAACACTCACCAAAAGCTCTTTATTGAATCAACTGGTTTGTGTGTGTTTTAACTTCTTCCCCTTCCATTTTTTTCAAAAGGAAGGGTCTGTAATCAGATGGTGAGCACGTGGCTTGAGAAAGCAGGATTCCAGGTGCTTCTCCAGCTTGGAGGAGACCTCTTGGGTCTCAGAGAAACTCTTAAGCTTTCAAGGGACAAAGAATTTTAAGCAAAAGGAGCTAACTCTTCTCTTTTAGGGTTTTCTGTTTTGTTTTGTTTTGCCATTGCTTCATACCCTTGGTCCTTGCCCCGATGAAATCACTGAGTTAATAAATAGCTATGGAACACCTTATACTTATTAATTTAATAATAATGGCTTCTAATTTTCAAATATGTACACTGTGTCTAGCATTGTGCTAAAGATTTTAACTGTATTACTTTATACTCCTTACAAAGTGAAGAAGTATGGATTATTTCCTCTGTTTCAGGACCTGAGTCTAAAGGTCATGTATCTTTTAAAGAGGTAGATCAGGAATTTGCAGCTTGATTTCCTCCTCAGCAGCTGTTTGAAATTCTTGCACCACAAAGGCCAGGTTTTCCATGATAGCATCCAGCGCATGTCCTTCCCAAGGCTGTGCCTCCTTCTTATTTCAGTGCACTGGAATCCCTCACCTAATCTGCCCCAGCCCTCACTCCTCCACAGTGGCAGCAGTCTTCCTGCTCTTCCACAGCCAAAGATAGCATGTCATCTCACTGTCCACTCCTTGATGGCTTTTTGTGTTAATGTCCTGGAAACCCCTTAATGAGATATGGCCCTAGTCCCCCCCACACACCCGGGGCCCTCTTCTTTAAACTCCGCTTCCCACTCTCTTCTGCCTTTCTGCATGACAGAGGTCAGTCTGACATTTCAGTCTCACAGCCCAGAAGATGGCCCATTCTGTTCAAAAAGAAATCAGAGCCCAAGGATAGCGTATTCTGTTTTCTATCACTTGCTTACAGAATCCTCCGCTTGCCTTTCCAATCTCCAAAAAGTTTATAAATGTTAGACTTTTATAAGATAAAACATCTCAGCTCAGTCCAATAACTAGGGACTGAGGGAAATTCTCCCTTAGTCCAGTCACAGATGATTCATGGCAGGCCTCATGGGCAGGCTGTGCTACATCAAATGGCTTGTGGATATTCATCAGCCTGGCTTTAAGAAGGTCCCATTTATTTTGATGCCAAGAAGTCAAACTGTCCTCTCTACCTCCCTTGCTCACCCTGTTGTCACTCTTTAAGAACAGATTCCTCCTCAGAGTTGCAGATGTTTTTTTCCCCTCCAGATAAGAAATACATCAAGGTAAATGTGCATGATAGAAGAGGAAGGTTGACAGTCCTAAATACCAGAAAAATGTCATAGGACATTGGAGAAGTAATGGACTAGTCACAGTGGCGCAGATGAAAGGACTTTGGCTCAGAATTCTATTACCCTTCATTGTGTGGTGGGCATTTTCTTTGTCCTTGTCTGATTTTCCTGCATGGCAGCCTTCTCTCTGTGGGTCTGTGCCGTGGCCACCTGCATCCCCATGGGAAACCCAACACCCTGGTGCTGGAGGAACACTTCAGTGACCTTGCAAGATATAAGGGATGGGGGGAAATTCAGAGAAACAGTAGTGGGTGCCTTCCTTTTCCTGTTGAGATAGAAATGAGAAGAACGCTCTTTTAATCTTTGATGGTAACGAGGACTATTTTCTTATGTTTCCAAGAAAATTCACTCATGCAAGGGTGATTTAAGAAAAGAAAAAAATCTGCTGATGTGAAAAGTTAGAATTTTAAAGTGTTAAATGTTTTCTCGTTATCAGATTTCATTATTATGCAATGGGTCATTATCATGCAGCAAGTTCCAATGCTGCAATATAGTCATAGTTTTTACCCATATATCAGAGAACTAGGACATTGGCTCAGAGTCCTCCATGCAATGGAAGAAGAAGAGTGGAGGGTCTCTTTACGCACTGCTGCCCTCCATGAACAGGAAGAATGACCCGATTACCTTACAGCAGGAATGAAGAACTCAAAAGAAAAAGATGAAGCTGGGCTCCCTATGACCAATCCCCAGCCTGAGAAGCTTTTTACCCCAATGACATTTCCCAGAGCAGATTATTACAGTAGGAATTAAATATCTGCTTGATTTTTCTCAGAAGAGGTTGATTTTCATAATAAGAGAGAACTTGATAGTGACATCATCTTTAATGACAGATTTTAGGTGGGGTTTGTTTTTTGTTGTTGTTGTTGCTTTTTCAAACAGCAAGAAAGTTCACACTGAAACCTAATGCCTTGTGTTAGGAATTACTGTCTATTTGCATATGGAAGAAAGGTCTTTGGTGAAAGCACTGTGGGAAAACCACATGGTGGCTTAGGGCTCAGTTTCTCTCCCAGTGCAGGTGCATCACAGAATGGGGTGGCCACAGGCATGTCCAGGGGTGAGGAATGCCAGCCCTCTCCACCACCCACAGAACTGCACACCCATCAGTCTGAACCCATTCACCTGCTCCTAAAAATATCCCATGAAGAAAAAGCCATTCTAAGCCATCCTTTGTTTTTGCTCTTGCTTACTTGACACTAGTAACCCACTGGTACACATGGGACCCAGTTTTCCAAGTAGAGAAGTTAAGGTAAGAAGGATTGATTCGGGTCTATCTGTCAAGTATATGGTCAACACAGAGTCATCAAAAACATGTTTTTGGATGTCTTTTCCAGAAATTTTATTGGTCCCTTATGTCTGGGGCTTGACCTCTGATTTCCTTAGCAAAACCTGACACTCATGGTTAAATTTAAGAAGGTGTTTAATTTTTCCTATTTCTTTGAAGACACTGCTAACATTTTGGATCAATCCTGTGATGATTACTTTACTCACCTCCGTGCCCCTCATCTATGAAGTCTCAAAACACGTGTGGGAAGTGCCAGCTTCTGATTACATTTATAGAATTCCAACCTTGACCCCAAAGCTGTGATTGTTCAAGATGCCAGATATCCAGAATTATTTCCTCAGCTTCAGGAGAGCTATCCAAATCACATAAAACCTAATTCTTAAACATAAGCCTCCTCTGGGAGTAAAGATCAAAATAAAACTCTGATGATGCAATTACTTGAGTGAGCACAACCAGACTTCACCTTGAAGGGAAATTATAGAGAAGGCCACAGAATCTTTGGCAGCACTCATCCACTTTGGAGTGGTAGCTTTCAGGCTTCTTTTTTGTAATCAGACAATCCTTAACCAAGAGCTCACAAGTTGTTCCCAGGGATTTAGCCTGTGTGATAGCCCTGTGCTTATCCTTCCTCAGAAGCATCTCCTTGCAGCAGTACCTGTGATCCTACAGGACAGATGCTGACAAGAAGAGAAAAGGAACGTGCTACTCTCAGAGGGAAAGTGTGATTGCCAATGGTTCTGGAGAGCTCAGCATCCACATGGTAGGGCTGGGAATCAAGGAAAGCTACTGGGCTCTTTGGGTTCCTCTCAGGGTGGCACCATTCACCACTTTTTCACCAGTCCTTTATCCAAAGAAAGAAGAGCATGAATGTGTCTAAGATCTTAACAAGAACATCTCCTGGGTGGCCTGTCATCACCTGAAAGAAGATCAGATGATTGTAACCTGTATGCACCACCTGCTGTGTTGATCTCTGTTTCATCTGGCCTGACACGGACAAGTGATGCAACTATTAGAGTTGACCAGAGGCTCCTGGATCGTAAGAATGGAACAGCCACTTTCATGTTCTCCACAACCTTTGACAAGAGCCCTGAAGCTTCTTGGAATTGTCCTGAAAGAAAGTCTTGGAAACCTCTGTTGGTACAGAAGAGTCGTGTGGGTTGTCTTAGAGATGCCAGTGACCTAGGCCTCCCAGATCAACCTCATGCCAGAGGTTCAGTCTTTATAATACATAAGTTGTGTGTCCCCACTGTCTCCAGTTTCTTGCCTAGAGAGAAGAAGATGGTAGGAACCTACAAAACATGCCTGCAATGACAAAAAAATAAGTATGACCCATGAGAAAAATGACTCTACAGCCATCATCTTCATCCTGAAGTCCTAAGAGAAAGATGCAGAGGATTTTGTGAAGTCTTGAATTCACCTCCCAGACTTTGCATCATTTTTTCTAAAAGCTGGTAGGTACTTTAAAATTATGAATTTTAAAAGGATTGTACTCAAGAGCATACGTGTTCGGATTTTCAAGCAATCACAGCGACAGCATGGACTTCTGCATATGTCTTATAAATAAATGACATTGGACTTCAAAGACCCAGTTGTCACTTCCATTTTCAGTAGCCAGAGATAAGAAAAGTCTGTTCCATTCCCAGAAATCTCTTGGTCTTGGTGTTGACTAGCTGTTATCAGCTTTTGGATTCACAGAGTGGCTTGAAGTCTCTTTGTGGCAGAGGAATCCCTTTTGATTTGTGGAGTCAGGGTTTGAAGTTTTGAGTGTTCCTGCTTATCTCCTGAAAAGCTATAATGTTGATTGTTACCTGAGCCTGCCTGTCACTTCCATTGGCTTCTGTTCCTACCTACAGTCTGGAGAAATTAGCAAGCACTTTTTAAAGAATTAAAAAAAGATTTACACTCAAAGGAGAGTTTTATTACTATATAATTTTTGAAAATTAAATGGCATTTGAAGAAAGAGCACTCTCTGAAGTCAGCCCATGGGTTTTGGGAGAATATTCTATAGAGTGGATAGAACCTTCACTGACCACCAGAGCCATGTTACCACCATTAATTTTTGAGACAATCAGGAGTGTTTTCTCTCTGGAGAGCTCCCTCAAAGTGGGTGACACACAGTGGTGTTGTCCTTTGGATCCCAGTGATGGCGTCTCCTCCAAGCTTGCCATCCCTGGGAGGGAACCCTAGGCTCTCTTCACCCCTTCTGTAACTGGATTCAGAGTTCTTTTAAGTACTTATGATTAGGACCTTCCAGAAACTCTGGGTTCAGAGTTCTCTTAAGTACTTATGATTAGGACCTTCCAGAAACTCTGCAGATGAAAACTGAGAAAACCACCTGAATCCCCAGTGTTCTTGCTCTTTGAAGGCAAAGCTCCGTGACATCCTGGGAAATGATGTCTAAGAAATTTTAAACTACTTTGCAAAATGTGATGAGTAAGCGCAACTAAAACTAAAGTGACAGATGAACCAAGCATCAAGGAAGTCTTAAGTCTTCCCCTTAGCCAGAGATGCTCCCTAGGCTGTGTTTCATGCGGGCAGTCCTGTATTTCATTTTCTCATGAGGGTCCTTTCTGCTTGGCATTCCACAGCTTCGTCTATCCACTCCTGCTTGATAAGCCACGCTCCTTCACATTCCCTCCTGATATCCTGCTCTCATGGACTCCATGGCATCTCTAAGAATAAAGGGATGCATGCAGGCCCTGTTCATTTCCAATTCTCAATTTTCCACTTGGCCATGCACCTCCAGGAACACATCTTGAAACAACAGCTCATGGACACCTGAACAAAGAACGTATCTCTTTGTCCACCAATCTTTTGAGACCAATATATCTTGATAAACAGCAACCATCTCTTGTCTAGCCAGAGGACTGAAAAATAGAACTTAATTTTTTTATGAAAAGAGTAATAACATTTTTACAGTATATAGAATACTAGGGCTTCCAGATTAGGTCACGCCACTGCAGTCCAGCCCTATCTTTGGGATTTTTTATTCCTGTGTGAAATTGAGCTGAGAATGGGTGCAGCCTGGCTGAAGGTATCAAGGGGCTTTAAAGGGGAGAGTGCCATCTGCCTGGCATTTGTGGAAACACATGAAAAGGAGGCACAGGAAGACAGGGAAAGGGAAGCTCCTCAAAGGGCAAGGCAAAATGGATTAATGATTTATGCTGGGACTGGAGAGACAGCCCTGCTCTGAACACACAGGCAGTGGCTTGCTTATATGCACATTGAGTTCACATCAAAGCAATGTTTGACACCCAGCCCCATAACAGGCAAAACCTTAAATGGCCAAGTAATTCTAGGCTTGGACACAGCCCCGCCACTGTAAGACAAAGCACGCAGCACTGTATCTTTGGAGTTAGTAAACACTGACTTGTGGTCAGGTTTTCTTTTTCTGGTGTTCCACCATGACATCCATTGATCCACACCTCACATTCTATGGAAGGTGCACAAAGTAGGAATGCATCTTACTTGAACACCAAGCGTTCTGCATTCAAGTACATATGGGCACATGTGTACATGAAAAATTCAAGAATGGCAAACAGACAAGCTAGTGGTATATTTGACCAAAGACTTAACCCACTCTTCCTAGTACATTTCAGAAATGATTCAAATTTTGCATATTTCTAAATCCCAGCTTCTTGGGAACACCTCTGCCTGGACAGCTTGTTCTTAGTATCGCTATTTCCCCTTGGGGGAGGTTGTATGCTGCTCTGGGTAGACAAGGGCAAGTTCTAGTTTTCCATAAACTTGGATGAACCTGACGGAGCAGGAGTGTGGCCACTTTTGCAGCTTCCCATCCTCCTTTCCCCTGTTTTCCTTATTCATGTGTCTTCTTGATCACATTGACAAGTGCCTGGATCCCAGAATGAGCCCATGTTCCTTTGGTCTTTCCTGGAGAATGTGCTTGCTCTCCTTCCTCTCCCCTGTCATCTTATCTTTGGGTTATTTTTCCCCCCTCCACGGCAGGGGTCCTCCCCCTGTGTCTCCTTAGCACCTGGCATGGTCATGTGGCAGGCAGTACTGAACTTACTGGGTCCTACCTTAAATGTCCTGTCTTTTATCTCCCAAGCTCACTATCTGGATAGGGTAGTTAAAGGTATGGTCTTCCTTCCTCTATTTTCCTGTTGTCTTGTGTGTGTGTTTGTGATGAGCATAAAAGAAGAAACGTGTATATAAAAATGTATATACACCCCATAAGCATGATGATGTCTAGAGACTGCCACATCCCCAGCTTTGTCACAGAATCCACTGCCCAGCGGGGACGGGAGTTTGGTCGTGAGGTGATTGATATACCTGGAGTGTCATTCTCTGCCTAAGCTGCTCAGATCTGTTTGTGACATCACCACTGTGCTGTTGTCCTTCCCCCCAATACATACACCCTTCACCTATTCCATCTCATCTCATGTCACCCTGCCCATCCCTTATGGCCCCTGGTCCATCAGAATTAAGATGCTGGGAACCAGCTGGGTGGCCTGAGAGAGGAATAGACCCAAGAGCAAGCTAAGAAACTGTGAGGACCATATGCTCTTGCTGTCATGTTTATTCATCCAGCAACCACCTAAGGAGCACCTACCGAGTACTAGGTACAGGGGCCAGGCTCTGGAGACAAGGGGAAACAGACTCTGGCCTCAGGGAGTGGGGGGTCTATTTGTTTGTTGTTTGTTTTCTTTTTCAGAGAAGACCTGGCTTTGGTAAGTTTTGTCTTTGAAGAATATTCCCTGAAGGCAAAGTAATTCATGACATTTTAAACATTTATGTGAATTTGGTGATGCCTAAATTTCCAAATTGGCCTCACTGCTCTAAGACTATGTCTGAGAATGATCAGGTATGTGATAGGAGAATGAGGTCCCCAAGGAGACATATCATGTCATATTAATCTTTTACTCATTAAGCCCTAATTTAGCACCTGTACAAAACATACGAGGACAGGTATTTTGTAGTCTGAGTGTGGGGATTTGAATCCCAGATCCCACACTTGACAAACTAGGTGACCCTGGACGAGTCACTTCACTTGAGTCTTCTCAGGGTTAGCATGAGGGTTGTGAAACAATGAATGTCAAGTGCTTGGTGCATGGGCAGGAATGATGCTTGGTGAACGTGCTATTATGCTATTTTATCATCGTATTCTTATTCTCACCTTTCATTTGGAGGACTTCATTAGCCAGATTAATCTTTTAATTAACAGAAAAAGCAGAATTGTTTTTTAATAAGAGATAACAGCTAATTTAAACTACGTGGAAAGGGTTTGGGAGAATGATAATGGACCCAGGCTTTGCTGGGACATCTTTGCCAGATACAGCACAAGAGCCACTAGGACCCATCAGGTGATAAGAGGCAAGCCTCCTCACCACTCACGTGCTGGCCCTCTACTGACAATAAAATCATTCCAGCAGGAAAGACAAGTGCCTCTGAGCATTTTGAAAACAGATTTGACACATTATTTTCATCAGAGAAATCTTCAGGATGGACAAAATTTAATAATGGAATTATTATTTGATGGAATTTTTCCTACTATGTGAAGTTGTTTTTTTTTATGAGGCTTGGGGTTTGTGAATGTTTTTAAGAGAACAGATATGATTATACCCATTTGATTGAAAAAGGAAACTGAGGGAGTCATATGACTCCTCCTAAATCACACCCCAAGAAGTGGTTGAGCCGGGGCTTTGGAGTCCCCAACCCAATCCATGTTTCCAACATTCTACCTCCTACCACCATAAGTCACTGAAAATGTCCCACAATTTCTAACATTTTATCCTTCAAACTATACCTTCCAAGCTGGCATCCTTACAGGGAAGTGGCCTGCATCTTCTCTCAAGCCAACTGTTCTAATCCTTAGTTCCAAAAATACCATCACCAGACCTTTAGTTGGATTAGGTCAGTGAATCATAACTTGCTTTAAAAGACAAATGTTTCTTGGCAAAATCTAGGTCTGAACCAAGCCCCCATCTGGCTGACATTCTGGTATAATGGGTACTAATTCTAAACATGAATTCAGAGACCTATACTACGCAAGGTCAGGACTTGTCTAGAGCACATATTTTGCAGTTCGAAGAAAAGCCCATTTTTGTTCTCTCTTTCCAGTTGCATTGGTAGAGAATATTGGTAGCAATACTCACTGAACAAATATGTTGAACTGAGGTTTGTCCAGCTTCAAAGTAACCACCATTATAAAAAGTCTCCACCATGTGGTTTTTATTAAAAATTCAGTCTTGAATAGTATGAAATTAGAACTTCCCTGAAAATCAGGACCTGAAAATTTTAAGTGAATACTGCCCTAAAGAAAGGGTCCCTACCCTCAGAGTGCCTGAAGTCAACAGAAAAACACAAAAACAATTCCAACAAAGTGTGGTGAGAGTTATGATAGGGGACGTGAGGGCCAGAGAAAGAGACCCCCACCAGATTAGGCAGGGGCCTTGCAGATTGTGGAATTCAAGCTAGATTATAAGAGAGCCACTGAAGATTTTTTAAAATCAGGATAACACCATTTGTGATTTGGAAGGATCAATCTGGCCCTATTGTAAAAGAAATGGAGGGGAGGGGGGACCAGTGTTTCTAGGGACAAGAAGTCCAATTAGCAGATTATTTGCTAGCATCTAGGTAAGAAAAGATGGTGACCTGGTATGGAGAAGTGCATGTCAAGATGAAAAAGTACAAGAGGACCAGAAGGAAAACCTAAAGAAAGGGGGCAACTGATATATGATATGTGTATTGCATAGCCCCCTTGCCACTTCACTGAAAAATAAATACCTCTAAGGATTCTGAGAGTCTTTTAGTCACACCAGATCCTAGCTGCAAGGGGGCTTCTTCATAGGCCTAAGCAGGATGTTGAAGATAAAGCAATCCCTTGTCATTTAAAGGGCAGTGCTTCTTTCTAAAAGCCCTTCTCTAAACCTTAAAATTACATTATTTTGGCTCTAGCAAACATGCCTGGTGTGAGTCCTTCCAGAGGGGATTGTTGATGTTACTCGGCCTCTCTGAATTATTGATGAGTTTCAGGTTTGTAGAATTAATGAGTTTCAGCCAAGGGGAAGGATGGGCATATCACTTTAAGAAAGTCAGCAGGTTGCCCTGGAGGAGGCTTCCTCATTCTTGCTAATGGGGGCGTGATTATCACAGAAGCCAAGTGTGGGATGAGAGGGAAGGAACTTCATTCCACCCACAGATACTCCGAGGTCCCTCTGAAACCAATGGGACAGTGCAGGTCCTCCGAGTGTAACTTGGTCCATTTGAAGAAATTGACTGTGGACAAAGTATCCCTGTGGTTCCATATTGAAAGCTTCCCTTTCCTTCCCTGGGAACAACTGACCCTGCAGACAGCCTCAGAGTCACGCAGAATGTGCACATTAGGCACCCAGAGAAGTGCACAAGAGCAGGGCTCCCAAAGGGGGTGTCATGGAATAGAATATTACAGGGTTATGTGGAAGAAGAATTCTGAAGTCAAATTAGAAAATGCTCCAATAATCAAATAAGCAGGTTTCTTTAATAAACATAGTAACATTCAGTGTGACTTTCTAAGATAAAAATATGGGATGCAATATTTTCTGACCTTATTTGACTACAAATGTCTCTTTCTGAGGACCTCTTAGAACTAGTATTTCACAAAATGAGGGAAGTATTGTTTAAGATTATAAAACCGGGCTGAGGTTGTGGCTCAGTGGTAGAGCACTCGCCTAGCACATGCAAGGCCCTGGGTTTGATCCTCAGCACCACATAAAAATAAATAAAGATACTGAGTCCAACTACAACTAAAAAATAAATATTAAAAAAAGATTGTAAAACCAAATTTAAATCCTGCCTGGAACAAAGCAAGGTATAGATAGAATATAAAATTCTTGATATATCTCATCTCCTTATACCCATAAATTAACACAAGGTCTGGCATCCAGTAAATGCTGAGTTGAATTTAAGCATAGAACCACTGAACCTAATGATGTTTTGACCTTTACTATTGGGTCAGTTGTTCTAGAAGGACATAATAGATCATCTCGTCTAAAACCTTATTTTATAAATTAAGAAATTGAGACCAAAAGAGGAAAAGTTGGCTTCCCAACTCCCACAGGTTAGACAGAGGTACCAGAATCTATCTCTTTTCTCATCCATTGATTCATTTCACCAAGTACATATTAAGTGCCTACTATGTGCAAGTACTGGATTAGGCCCAATGGTAGGGTTTTGTTTGTTTGTTTTTTGTTTTGTCTTGGAATGGGGGATTGAACCCAGGGGTGCTTAACCACTGAGCCACATCCCCAGGCCTTTTTTATGTTTTATTTTGAGACAGGGTCTCACTGAGTTGCTTAGGGCCTCACTAAGTTGCTGAGGCTGGCTTTGAACTTGTGATCCTCCTGCTTTAGCCTCCTGAGCTGCTGGGATTACAGGTGTGTGCCACACCCCTGGCCTGAAGTTTTCTTTTTGAAGTTTACTTTCTAACTGAGGGAGTGAAACCATTAAACTAATTGCATTATTCACTTAAGAATATTTAAAATAATTTCTAATAGAAATTATCTGCTAGGGAAGCATGAGATGGTAGGTCTCGTTCTGGGACGTATGGCCCTGCCCTCTGCATTGCATGCTGACCCCAGGACCTTGTCACTGGGTTATCTCCTCTCTTTAGCAGGGTTTGTACTTCTGAAGACCATAGATTCAGATTCAAACATTGACACAGTTTGGAGTCATACAAAGTTTTTTTAAAAAAATCTAATAACAGCTGCCATTTATTAAATGCCTATTTATGATACCCACTGTGCTAAATAAGTGGTGCATGTTATCTCATTTAATCATCTCATCAACTCTTTGAATTGGGTATTATCTCCATTTTACAGATGAGAAAACTGAAGCTTAGAGTTAATTTGCCAGTCATCACATGAGTAGGAAGTAAAACAATGGCACTAGAATTTGAAATAAGGTTTGTCCAGCTCTGAAGCCCCTACTATTATGATACACGGTTTTTATTAAAAATTTAGGATTACATAGTATGGAATTGGAATTTCCCTGAAAATTTTTAACAAAAGTTAGTTACTTTAGAAATAATCCATTCAAAATACCTCGTGCAGCGGCCAGCCATAGTAGATCCCCAGCCTATGATCACTGTCCTGAAGCGTTTCAACCAGGAGTTGGCATATTACAGCCAATACACCATATCAGGCCCATTACTTGCTTTTGTAAATGAAGTTTTACAGGAACACAGTGGTGTTTATGCATTTATAAATTATGTGCATCTGCTTTCAAGCTACAGTGCCAGAGTAAGTATTTAGAACAGATTCCCTATGGCTCACAAGGCTAAACTTATTCTGTGTGGACCTTCACAGGACAAGTTGGCTCATTCTGATCTAGGTAACTGCCTCTGTTTCCTATTTTGTTTTCTGAGCTCTACCTGAGGTTAGAATAACAACTTAGGATATGATATACCTTCTCCCAAATAGAAAGAAAATAAAGAGAGGTAGAGGGTTTTGCTGTGTACCAGGTTTCACGCATCATGTATTCCTGGTCTTAGCCATCCCAGTACCACTGCATGACAAGTAAGAAGAAAGTGAATAACATGCTGAATCACAGCCACTGGGTGGTAGACCCAGCCTTTGATATGGCTCGATACTTGTGCTCTTAGACAGAAGATGTTCTGATAGGAGGATATAGCAGAGTACAATAAATCAGTCTGCCACCATTTTTTAAATTTATTTTTTAGTTGTAGGTGGACACAATATCTTTATTTCATTTTTATGTGGTGCTGAGGATCAAACCCAGTGCCTCATGTGTGCTAGGCGAGCACTCTACCACTGAGCCACAACCCCAGCCCAGTTTGCTACCATTTTTAAAGATCAGACCTGTCTTCCTTCAAGACTAACCCAAATATAAATGAGCTTTAATTAAAAGCAACTCCCAGCTGGATGGACAAAAATTTAAATAAGACTAATTGGGGACAGGGAGACTGCAAATGCTTAGATCACTAGGGATGGCCAAAGCTGACTGTCGAGACGGTGTCCCAGTAACCCCTGCACATCACAGCACTTCTCCTAGGACCCACGTTCACAACTTACTTTTTAATCATTTTTGGGGGTAGCCATGCTGATGGCTTTTCTTTTTTCCCAATAGCTTCTACTGGGCAAAGATCACATATTCTACATCTGCTCCAAAACCTCTAGAGGAATACCTCCTAGGCTTGGAGAAACACTCAACAGTTGTTTCTTCCTTTACATGGAAAACACAGTGCCCAGATTGATCGGTCTCTCTGTTGCCCATCTCAAGTGAAAATGAACATGTTCTTTTCTTCGCCGTTGGAGTATCAGTCAACAATCAAAAGTCCTTAGAGCAATAAAGTTTTAGACTCACCACCTGGTCCTAGAGTCAAAGAACCAGCACAGACTAAATATTGCCTGGCCATCTTGATTAAGTCACCTGCAGCCCTTGCAGATGGCTACACCTGTTCAGTTCCCATATCTTTTAGGTCTCTCTTAAGATACTTCACAGTGAATTTTTTTGCTTATTCAAATTTGCATCCTTTGATAGACTGCATGCTCCTCAAGAATAAGATCTAAGTCTTATTCATCTCTGAGCCTATAGCACTAACCTGGAGAAGGTGCTGAATAAGTGACAGGTGGGCAAATAGATATACAGATGCACAAAATAGAAGCAGAGCAGCCTACCTGACCTGCGTTGGCACTTGCAGACAGCACAAGTTTGTCTCTCTCACCATAGTTATGGAGCGCCTCTGGGTGCAGAGCCCTCTTCAAAGTATAACGTAGACAAGATGGTAAGAAAAAGACATAAGTCCTCAAAACAAAGACAGTGGCTTAGGGGAAAATAGAACAAAATAAGTCAAAAGCCTGAGGTCCAATAAAATTGACCTAGTAACAAGAGTTGAAAAAAGAAGAACCCTTTAGAGTTGAGTCCAGAAGTGCCAAGGGACAAGAGGAATAAACAGAGAGATGTTTCCTTTGTTCCAGACAGCAGTCAGAACAAAGGGGAGCACAGGAGAAGGAATAAGGAGCAAGGCCTGTGCAGAAACTCCTCTGGTCAGATTGAACCAGGCCTCTACCCACTGTCTGCAGCCCCAGAATCCAATCACCATGAAGGGGAGAGATGTAGAAGCAGAGGGTGTGGGTTCCAGACCTATCCCTGCTACTTCTGCCTGCAACCTTAGCAAGTCCCTTTGCCTCTGAGTCTCAGTTGCCTTCTCTATGAAGTGGCAGGCCTTAATGCCACCTGTCTTCCTGGTCTACTGTGGCACTGATGTGCTAATGGATGTGGAGGCACAGTGTGAACTGCTGGCAGAGTGGCTGTGTGGGAAGGCAGTCTGGTGGTGCGTGAGCAGACCTCGACTCTGTATCCTTTGTCTTGCAGAAGGTTGTCCTGGGTTGTGCAATGGCAACGGCAGATGTACCTTGGACCTGAATGGGTGGCACTGCGTCTGCCAGCTGGGCTGGAGAGGAGCAGGCTGTGACACTTCCATGGAAACCGCCTGTGGAGACAGCAAAGACAACGATGGAGGTAGGGCTCTGGCACCTATGGGCCCCAGCAGCTCCAGGGGCAAGTGGCGTTACTGAGTTAACAGGCTTCCACACCAGCTGTGCAGTCAGGGGGGGCCACTGGGCAAGCAAGAACTATATATGTGGCTTAAGGATTGAGTACAATGTCAATAGTTGTTCCATTTGGATTCTTTAAAATTAACTAACATAAATGAAATTAATTGGCATCCAGCAGCCAGGATAGAGAAGAAGGTACATAGAAAAAAGAGTTTCCCCATAATTCAACAGTGGGATGAGTTGCCTGGCAAAGTTATGAGCTCCTCCCTGGAGGTGCTAAGAAGAGGCCATCCAGTTCTGTGTGGCAAAAGCTGTTGAGGCTGCTCCTCCCGGGAAAGGATGTTGGATTACCTTTGATGAAGGGCTCTTCTCTGATTTGGGGAACACCATTACCTCCATACCCTCTGTCCCTCTGGGTATGCCATAGAATTTGCCTTTGCTTTGGATTTTTTTCAAGTGCTAGGTAATTAAAACCCAAAGAATGAGAGGCTAGTCTTGGGGAACTTTCATTATCTGAGAATGGAAAGACCTGGGTTCTAATTCCAACTCTGACTTTGACTCCCTGTGCAATCCTTAGTGAGCTACTTATTGTCTCTGGGCTTCATTCTCCCTATGTAGAAGATGGAGCAGTTGGACCATGAGGGCCATTCCAGTTTTTATAATAGACATACAATTAGGCTTCATTTCTCTGTTGTATAAACTTGCATAAATACAACCAGAATGTATTCTACTTTGCCACCTGGATGACGCCTGTTCTACGGATCTCAAGGGATTATTAGGAAAAGAAAAGGATAAAGATATGGAAAAGAACATCAGGACAATTAACCATTCTTTTCTAATGATGCCCCAACTGTTGTCTGGAGTTGTTTCTGCAGCTACCTTCTCTTTATACCAAGGTACTTTCTAGTATACTACAGAGCAGTAAGTCAACAAAGCAGAAACTCAGCACCCCAATCTTTGGAAATTTTTTTTCCTAGGGTATTTCTAAAATCTGAAAGCATTATAAGAATTAGAAAGCCAAGTGTGTAATATTGCTCTGGTTCATTTGTAGCCAGAAATGGCTGTTTCAAAGTACTGGTTATTATCTGAGATTCCCTTCAGTCCTTCTGCCTACTTCCCAAATCAGAAGGCAGCCAGGTCTGATGCACACAGGTCTGGGCCTAGTGGAGTAACTGTCAACCAGGAGCTTGGGACTGACATTGGTCTTAATAGCAAGACAACAGTAGGTGCATGTTCTTCTGAGGTCTTACAGTATTGAAATGGCCCTTAATCAACCTGAAACTTGTGGAGTTTATTAATTCTTGTGCTGCATAAATATCCAGAGTTTCTATGATGGGACTAGGACTCTTGCCAGGTACAGAGATGATTAACTCCTGTCCCTGTACCCCAGGAGCTCAAGTGAGGGAAAGAGGCCCAAAGTTGAACATTCATGTTCTGTGATAAGTGCTATTATGGGGTTTTATGTTGGTTGTGGGGAGAGTAGGAAAACATTCATCAGGAAGTTGATACTTGAATAGGAAGGGGTTTCTTGGAAAGGAAAGAACTTTCCATTTAGAAAGACCATCATGGGGAAAGTCAGGGCAGAGCAGGGAAGGGCATTGAGAATTGCTGCTTTCAGGCAAGATAAAGAACAATCTCATTTGCTCTTCATAGGGAAGAGACATCAGCCTATATTATCTGCATGATTTGCCCAGCATCCCCTTCCCTTTGCATTTGTGGGCACCATGCCAATGACAAACAGTCACACCCTTGTAATAGAAGAGAAGGGGAGAGCAGCCGCACCATGAAGTCATTCCCTTCTCAAGAGTTCAGTATCTTGGCCAACGCCTTCAAACAGCTGTTGAACATCTGGGCAGTAAAAAACTGAATGTATTTGGGAAATGTGGAGAAAGAGCACACTCTCCTCTAACATGCATGCAAGACTGGCTTATAGAACAGGGTTCATTTATTCTTTCCTTGAAATCCAATTCCAGTATAACTTGTCTGCCACACTTCAGAGCCAGCCCTCCCAGCATTGGAGCCCACCACTGGTTGCATATGGCCTGGGCACACAGTAGCCCAAAGCCCCACTGCTTTGGTGGAAGAGCCTTTTGTCATAGGAAATGGGGCTGAGCCCAACCCCAGGGGATTGGATCCTACTCCATCTGCTCTCAGAGGTGAGCCAGCAGGAAGTAGAAAAGAATGATCAGAAAATCCCCAATTGTAGGAAAATATACCTCTTACATTTTTTGGAGCATGTTGAGTTTATACATCCATTTTAGCAACGCTATACAATAGCATGGAAATGTGATTTCATTTACTGCCTCAACAAATGTAAACTGAGTATCTACACTACACCAAGTCCTGTCCAGTGTACTAGGATTTCAGAGATAAATAAGACACAGACCCTGCCTGTGCCAAGTTTGTGATCTAGAGGGGGAGAAGAGGGAAACAGCAGGTAATTGCAATACAGTGGGATACTGTGTTGAAAGAGCAGCCACTTATTCACCTGATGTTATCAGGTGTCTGGGTGCCCTCCTGGAAATAGTAACATGGTCCCTGTCCCAATGGGCTTCCAGTCCATCCAGGAAGAACTTCCATGAGTTGTTGTGATTAGAAATACAACCATCTGGGTAGGATGGATTATCAAGAATTTTTGGCCTTGGGTTCTCAACTGTGAAATGAGGAAACATCTCACTTTGAGATCCTCTTGATTCAGTGATCTCTCCATCCATTGGGGAAGACCAGAGGAAGGTGCAGGGGGCCCCTGCTTCTCAGGGGGGCACATATGAAATAGATATAGGACCAGAGACAGGCAAAACTCATCCTCACTGGCCTTGCCTACAGAGACAGTTTGGGAAGGGAAAACAGAGTGCCCTACATGAGGAACGTGAGCGTGGGCCACATTTAGCATCAGGCTCTTTTCAGTGCAGTTGAGCACCACACGTTTTGGGACCCTGCTGTCTCAAGGCCCCATGCTCTTTCCTGAGGGGATATGAGGACCAGTGAACATGGCCCAGTCTTTCTCCTTCAGGAAGCTCACAGGAAGAAATTGTCATTCAAATGACTAAATCTAATGGAGTCAGAATGAAATAAGTGCTTTTATTTCAGCCATGACAGTGAATGCAGCATAATCCCAGATACATAATTTAGAGTGGAAGGAAATACTGTTAGAGTCTTGCTGAGTGGTTGTTCATGGTTGAAATGACTCAAGGGCCTGAAGAAGGAATTAGCAGAGTTTAATGTTGAGTAACAGGGCCAGAAGGGACATCTGAGAAATCAACTTCAGCTCCTCCTCCTTCTCCCCTGCATGTTACAGACAGGGAAACTGGAGCCCAGAAAGGGGAGGTGACATCACATACTTCACAGTCACACGGAAAGTCATTAACACAGACCAGACCAGACTCAGACCCCAAATGCGAGTCATGGCACATGGCCTGGTGAGCCTGGAGCCCCCCACCTTCTCCTAGTGCCCTCTCCTCCTAGAAATGCAGTGAGCGCTCCTCAGACTAAGTGGGCTGTGGCACAGTACAGTAACTTAGGTGTCCTTTTACAGCGTGCCAAGCGATTGTTCATCCACTGAGCCACACTATGATGAATGTGGTATGATTATCCCCTTTCTATTTCCTTATCATGAGGAAACAAAGGCTTCCTCGTGTGTTGCCCAGGTCATGTGGGTGGCCAGTGGCAAAATATGCTGCCATCTGAGCAGAGCTTTTCACTGTGCCAGACCTCAGACATGTGGCTCCATCAAAAACCACCGCAGCCCCTCATTTGTCAGATAACTCCCATTTTCTCTTCTTTCCCATCTTGGTAGGTTTAAAGCAACCCTTTTTCAAATTAAACTTGAATTTCAAGATTCATTGAGAATGCTGTTTAAGACTTTTTAAACTGTGAGACAAAAAAAAAAATGTTATTCAATGTGGCTGAGTTGGGAGCAGCTTTATTGGTTTGTTTTTGTCTTCATGTATGGTCATTGTCTGGATTTAAAAATGGAAAACAGATCCTGGATGTGACTTAGTAAGTGCCAGTCTCCTGATTTTTTTGTTGGAGCTGCCCAATACATCCAGCAAATGGTCAGATTTCACCCTGGGGGAACTAAGTGGTAAGAGGAGCCAGCAGAGCAGGCACAGTGCCCCTGACTCACCCCCTCAATGTGAATCCCTCCCTGTGCCCCACTTGCCAAAGACAGTGTGCCCTGTTTTCATGGCACCCTATTTGTGAAGCCCTTGTTGAAGTGCTGTCAAAAGCATCTTCTCATTAGATGCACACTGACCCTCTCACAAAGATGCTCTTATGCCCATTTCAGAGATGGTCAAAGAGTGGCCCTCCTATGCTAAGTGACTATGGGGATAATAATCTCTACCCACAAGTTTGTGATCAGGATTATAGGTTATATGTCTAAGGTGCCTTAGAGGCAACATAGCACAGAGATTTAAAATGCAGGATCTGTACTGAGATTCTCTGCATTCAATTCCTGGCCCCCTGTTTGTTGACTGTGTGACCTTGGGAGGATTACTCAACTTCTCTAAGACTTCCACCATCACCTGCGAATATCAGTTCTCCCTCCTGTTCCTTTCCACTTGCAAGTAGAGAAACGTGATAGTTATTACAAAATATATATTTGTATATAAATAAGTACTTTTAAAATTGGAATTATGCTTTCCATAATATTCTACTTTTTTTCACTAAAAGTCTCCATATAATAGAGGATTTTGACTTTTTTCATTTTCTTTGCTAAAATCTATATTCCAAACTGTTACATGCTCATTGCTAGACTGAAAAAAACAATCCAAACGTACATAAAGGAAAATAATAGCCATCATTGAAAGAGTCTCACAATAAACTTGCAGGCAGACATTTACATGTAGGGTTACTGAATCTCAGTAAGCTGCAATGATTTGCTCAAAGTCACATAGTGGATCAGTGGGAGAGCAAGGAATGGATGGAAACTGTGTTTAAAAAGAGCATACCAGAATAAAAACT